CAACCTGCTGGTTCGTCTGGCCGGAGGAGAACTGGCCCCCCGACTAAATCTGAACTTAGCTGGATGATGACATCACTGAATTCAATGATGAACTGCCTTTAACTGAAAATTTAGTGTTTACTATTGTCCTTTTGCACTGACACACTATTTTCCTATTTTGATACTGTAAAGCTGCTTTGACACAATCTGTATTGTTAAAAGCGTTATATAAATAAAGGTGACTTGACTTGACTAGAGGATTCTATTGTCCATTAGATCGTTGGGGCCCTATGACACCACATTGTGTTCTATCTAGTTATTCGATACACAGTGGATACAGATCTACAGTCGAATGCTGTGAATGTTGAATGGATAAGCAACAAAATGTCACATATTGTAATATAACAACCAGATTCTTTATCTAAAGGTCAAAAGGTCAGCAAACAGTTCTGTGTCTTTATGTTTTGCATTTTAGCAGATGTGCAGTATAAAGAAAATGTACATAACTTCTGTCAATTACAGTCATTTGTTTGTGTAGGTCAGTTTACTTTTACAGACAGTTAAGTTTTGGGGGTCTGTGGAGACTTTTGTGGTTGGTTGAGTGGGCCATAAGTGGTTAACGGTTCAGAACTGAAAATCTTTGGTCACCTAAATTTTTTAAAATATCTTCTTTTATGACACACATTGTTTGGATATTTTCTTGTAAATTACAGAATTTTCATTTTTGGGTGGACTATCCTTTTAATAAAGCAGAATATGGTGAATAATGTTTATCATTTGTGATGGCTACTGATGACTCCCTAGATTGTTCAAGCTGCTTAAAGGGATAGTTCACTTAAAATGAATGAATGAATGAAAATTCTGTCCTCATTTACTCACTATTATCATTTGTTGTCCATACAATGGAAGTCAATGGAAGCACCAACTTCATTTGATTACCAACGTTCTTCAAAATATACTTTTGTGTGTGTGTGTGTGTGTGTGTGTGTGTGTACCTGGTATTTATCACGTTATGGGGACCAAATGTCCCCACAAGTATAGTAATACTAGTAAATTTTGACCTTGTGGGGACATTTTTGAGGTCCCCATGAGGAAACAAGCTTATAAATCATACAGAATGAGTTTTTTTGAGAAAGTAAAAATGCACAAAGTTTCCTGTAAGGGGTAGGTTTAGGGGTAGGGTTGGTGTAGGGCAATAGCACATACAGTTTGTACAGTATAAAAACCATTACGCCTATGGAATGTCCCCATAAAACATGGAAACACAACAATCAATTAAAAAAAAATCTGGCAGGTACTGAGAGTGGTACTTCTATTAACAGCATTTTGCAGCTTGTGCATGTCTCAGCAGTTTTCTACTACACAAGTGTAGGGACATTTATTGTAAAATGTCACTGGTGGCACAAGCACAAACACACATAAACAGAAATCAGGTCAGCACAACACACATCCTGAAACAGAAACAAGTGATGATCTGCTATCACTATTGTGCAAAAACCACAATGTTAGACCAATGCACATGCTGAGACCCATTTTGCAGCTGACCGCAAAGAGCACACTTTGACCATTCTGAGCGGTAGGAAATAATGTGGGTTGGTTATCTCACGTCAAAACACTTAGATAAACGCCTATGGAATGTCCCCATAAAACATGGAAACACAACATGTGTGTATGTGTGTGTGTGTGTGTGTGTGTGTGTGTAAATAAACTTTTACACACAAAAACATATTAAAGTACTACATATCGTTTAATATTTTAAAAAATTAAACATTAATTTTTACCACAAACCCTTGTATTGCTTTGAAACTTTTGTAGCGTTTTACAGATAATATAGAGAAGGTTTATAGAGTTTAAAGAAAAAAATCTTATCTTGTTGGCGCCGATGGCCTCGTGGGCAGCGCGCCGACATGTTGCGCCTTTGCGCTTCGGGCGTCCCGAGTTCGAGTCCGGCTCGTGGACCTTTCCCGATTCCACCCCCCTCTCTCTCTCACCCACTTCACTTCCTGTCGACCTACTGTCCTATCTAAATAAAAGGCATAAAACGCCAGAAAAAAATCTTATCTTTACTACTACTTGCCCTTATAATTTCAATGCAATGTTTTTGTAATGAATTATTATGTGAGTGTTCATTTAGGATTCTGAAATCAGCTTCCCAATCCCTCACAGGCCTAAGGTTTAAAACAGAAGGTACACCACTAAGAGGAGCCAAACACAATCATGAAAGAGTAGACAGATGACTTAAAACTGCAACACTCAATATGGCTGCTATGGAGGAAAGGAAGTCAATTAACCAGAAGAGCAAATCAGATCACCTTTGTGTTTTAGAAAGCACATGCACATTTTTTGGACCAACTTGTAAAGTTTCATTGAGTTTTGCCACACATGACGTTTTTGTACATTGTCCATTTCCCATCCAAGTAGATGCAGCAGGAACTGCATAGCTATAAAATGGTTGCCCGTGGGTGTTACTAAAAAAATAGGTGGTGGCAATGCACAATGCACATTTAAGAGCTGGTTTGAAAAAGAAAAGAAGAAGAACAAGAAGAGAACGACTCAACATGATTTCCAAGTGAACTAGCTGTTGCCATCAGTATGACACCTGTTTAATTTAGACACCTGAAGCCTGATGTTTTAAACAACACCATTGTGCATAACCTCATTTGAATATTATTTCCTTATGCATATTGCCATCCAGACACATGATGCTACAGCCTATTAACAGTGTGGCCCACATAAGACAGTATCACTAATTATTATATCTGTGTCATAAGGGAAGAGTGGATCAGTGGATCATTAAAAATAGCTTTTTTTGTGTTTAGACAGGTCACCGTGGTAAACACAAGTTGGTAAAGATTCCTTCCACATGAACTGACCGCAGTCCTTTTGGTTATACCAGCAGCAGACACAGATTTTTAGAAGAGCAGATGGAAGTCATATGAGAAAACGTAAGACCACTTGGAGATGAGGTCTGGAAGCAAACCATGGTACTCCTTACATGGGGAGGAACATTGGGGGGAAAAAATCAATTGGGTACCACACTGAAAGTGAAGGGTATTGTCACAGGTTGCCAGGGGAAAGGCGCTCGAAGGAGTAAGATAGTCAAACGAACAGAGTCTTTAATAAATCTTCATGGGACCGTAGGCGAAAACCTCTTTACACGATGGAGACAGGACAAAGAAACTGAGGAAAGGCAGGGCTATAAATACTAAATCAAACGATGGACTAATAGGATGATTAACGAACACAGGTGGAAACTAATGAACTAATCAAGCAACACAGGAAAACTAGGTCAAGGCAGGGAGAACAGAAACACAGAACATAAACGTGACAGGTATGCACTTGTGAGACTCGTTCAGATATCATGTTTTTGAGAGCATGAAAGATTATCGCACCCAACCAAATCAGTTACTGGAGAAGATTGATGAAATGAGGCTGGAAAATGCCTTGCTGCAGCAAAGAAGAACATATATATGTCAACTATATAAGCTATACAACTAAAGCTTTGTTTTTATTTCCTTACAGCAGAGATGTCCTCACGTGTCGATGAAGATGATATACAGATGTCTTCGGCTAAGGTGGAAAGCTGGCTTCAGAGGCATCATTTATCAGACTATGGAAGTGTTTCCAGCTATGAGGAACTAGACAAACCTGAATAGGATAGTAATTAATAATTAGGTGGCTAAGGCAGTTTGAAAATGCATTGTTTTATTTTTGTCATGCAGTTGTTAAAATCACAAGTGCAGTAGTCACTGTTATAGTAATTTCATTAATATAATTTTTGTCCTCAACTAAATATTTCCACTATGTTGTTTAAACAGATTCTACTGTTGTTTATAACTTTTTATTATCTTTCATGTAATTGATCAGCATTAACAGACACAAAGTATTTCTAAATATCAAGCCACAGAACTAAAAAAATTTATATTTTTTTGGAGTATAAGATGTATTATATTTGCAGTAATTGATGCTCTTAGCAATATAGTTCAATATCTACTTTTTCAAGTCAAAATCATTTTGTGAAGAAACTCTGTTTAAGCATGGGATCTCGCGGCTTGTGGATCACTTCACTGTATTCAGTTAGATGTCTGTTGTTTGATCTTCTGGCCGGAGGGACAGAGGCAAAATTCACAGCCGCGTAATTCACATCTGAATCTCCAATCTGTAAAAAAAAAAAAATTCATAGATTTTTTTTTCTTTCTGCTTGAGAGCCATTAGAAGTTAATATGAGAATATATTAGGAAACTGATTTAATTTAAAAAATAATACAATTGAAATTACCTCATATGACGGAGATGCTACATTTTTAGATCCTTCAAAATGTGCAGAAAATTGTTAAACTTTGATATACATATTTGTGATTGAATATTTAAATTGTTTTGCACATAATATTATGATATTAGTGTGTACAACTTTAGACCACTATCCTATCCAATTAATCTCTGCTTAACTAATGGAAAATGTGGGTGGAATTTTACCTTTTTGCCTTTTTCTCCAGTTTTTATAATAATCAACCAAAAGTATGATTATTACCATCACAAACACAACATTGCAGGATATCAAGCAAAGTAACACAGGATCCCATACTTTTGGATTATTGTTATCTGAAATAGAGAAAAAAAATTAATAAAGCAACAACGTGCTGCTAATAGTAAAGATCTGTGAACACATTGCTGCATATAGCTGTGTTCTCTGCAGATACTTTTCCATGACTTGCAACAGTATAGTGGTCAAAAACATGTGGACATTTAAGCCATATATTTTTAGTGTTTGAATGTCATTGCATTTGTTTACAAAATATCAAACCAAGTGGCATTAATTTTAAGAAACAGTGGAAGCAACCTTTTCAAGCAAAACCTTTCTCAAAACAAATTAACATTTTAAATGATAAAACAATAGGTATGTGATTACACCTGTTTAGTAGAACTGACTTAATACATTTGATAAACACACTTTGAGACCTGTTGGTTAAAAGTAACTGGAAAAAATAGCTTCAGTGCAGTTATGTTTGCTGAAGCTCCTTGGTTGTATAATTTGTAAAATGCAATACAATTCATACAATTTTAAGTGTGTCTTAAGGGTACAAATACTTTTTGGAATCACTGTTGTGGAGGTGACAGTTAAAAAATCAGGTAGTAAAGGACTCAGGTATCAGGTAGTTAAGTCTTAGCACTAAAATGAAAAAAATTACCAGTATTTTTGAAAGTGGTTCTATTCACAACTTCTCTCTCCTCACATCCCACATTAAAGTGTTTGGTCTCATTTCCTTAGAAGCAGCAAATAAATATGTCAGGGATTAGACTGTTGGTTTTAAATGACTTACAAACAAGAGAAATTAGTTCAAATTGTCTACTCCAAAAAGAAATATATAAGACAATAGCATGTTGAATATATTTTACCTTTTAGCATCAGATGTGCTCCAGAAATAAATTCTATTTTATTCAAGAAAACTGTCCCACAGTAGTATTTTCCGATGTCCTCCTTGGTTGTAGCTTTGATGTTGAGGTGAAAAGAATCTTCACTTGCTGAAATATCGAATCTCCCGTCTTTAAATTCATTCTCAATTTGGATATCTTTCCAATAATTGTGTGTTAATGCAATAAGACGAGGAATCTGATCAGTGCTCTGTTTATACCAAACCATTGTGTTGTCAAAACTTTTTTTTGTCAAGAAACATTTGACTGTAACATCATCTCCCAGCTGGAATGTTTGCAATGAGACAATTTCACCACTGTTATCAGGTCGACCTCCAGCTGAAACAGAAAAGAGATTTCATTTTTAACACTAAATATGTATGCATGCTTGGAATTGACCAAATAAATAAATACATATTTATAACAGTGGAAAGAGAGAGAAAAAATCTACTTACAAGCCCAAAAGATCAAAATGGCCCAAATGATCATGTTTGAAGCAATGAATGTGTAAAATGCTTTTTAGAAGACTTGCATGGGATGTGATTGGACACTTTCAAACCAAGACTGTGATTGGTTGAAATCAATCTGGTATCTCTCACTCCACTCCCAAATTGAAGCAAAAGTGTTACTAAAGATATGGGGTGATGATCAATGACTGTGTCACTGTATTGTCTGTAATAAAAGACAGTCAAAGCATGCAAAAAATGTGTTTTTTTTTGGAGCAATATTGCTCTGCTCCCGGCCGTAGTCAAATGTAAAGGCAGCAAGATTAGTTTGTGAAGGCGTCAGTGTTTCATATCACATTTTAGACATGTCAGTCTCCAGATTTTCAATGAAACAGAGACAATTACAGAATTCCCAATTTAACTTACAAAAAGTAGTTCAATGAGCCTTTTTATGTCGTAATAGATTATATCAAAGGTTCGCGATACATATATGTGTAGCTATTCAATGATGGCAAAATCTTACGTATATGAACCTAAGTGGAATCAAGTCTAAAGTTAAAGTCTAAATCATTTTGTTATTTTTAGTACTTTGAAATGAAAACTGACAGTAAAAATACTACCTATATTCTCTTTCAATGTTATATATTTTATACCTCTAATGTTTGAGATAAATCATGGACTACACATAATGCATAAGATCACAGTATGTGAACTTGCCACAAATCTAAAAGTTTTTGTTTTGATGAAGTGCTGCTTGTGTGAAAACAGTTTGTGGTTTTCTTGTTTTTCTAAAGATGGTCATCAGAAACGACTATCGACCACAATAGCATCATATTTAGTAATCACAGAGAAACAGGTCACAGTGGGACAGATATACATCCTGTGTGTACATGTGAGTGAAAGTGCAGGCGCATTTTTTTTATATAGTCATAGGTGTAACACTGCCTCTGAAATGTTTCACGACCACAGTGTTAATTCATCGGAAAAGTAAGCAGAAGACCATTGCATATTCAGACCTCTTTTGCACTGCAAGTGTGAGTAGGTGTTTCTGGCAACCACATATTAAACATGTGACTATGTGGAACAAAACTACAACCTTTTCAAATAAATGACTATATGTAACTTAAGAAATGTAAAGTTGAATCTGCGGCTACATTTTCTTCACAACTTGACAATGAGTATTATTATTATTATTAGTATAAAAAAAGAACACACCCATAGATGAGAATCCACATATCTACAGACACAAAGTTTTTATTTAGGTTATTATTCAGAAATAACCTCAAGCAAACCCATGAGGCCTTAATATGGCATTAAACATCTGCTGCTATATTGAACTATTAGGTTGTTTATATATAATAATATTAACATATTATAAAATATTATCTTATATAATTCTAAATGTTTGTGTATTTAGGGTGGTATGTCAATGGTTTCGATTTTTTAAGCTTTAGCTCCCTCTTGAGGATTGACTCAGTGATTAAAAATTAAGCAACAATACAGAGCATTTAACAGGGAAGGATGAACTGAATTTCATCTTATTTCCACACTGTCCTGTAAACCTATACAAACTCATCTTGTTATTTTCCTACTCTTTACTAAAAATCAAATCAGGATGTGATTATTAAAAGAGTCTGGTTCAGTTTGGATTCACTGTATCAGTTTATTAGTAGTTATCACAATCTTTCCATCACAAAATTATCACATGATCTTTTTAATTTAAATACAATTGTTTAATCCAGATTATTTCATACAATAATTCATTAACAACAATGACAAAAACACCTTTAGGGGGACAAATAAAAGAGCCAAGGCTTTGGGTTTTCCTTTCTGTACCCACTCAAACATTTGTGTGTCTTTTTTTATTGCTGAAGTGTGTTGAAATTTTTTCTACTACATTCTACCGTACGGACGTAAATTTACTTTCCCTTCAGCCTGAGGCTTTCACTTTTGGTGTGAAAAGGCTTTTATATTTGCAAAAAATATAACTTTTTTATTTTAAAAACAAACAAGCAAGCCCTGTCCAGATTTTAAAAGCAACGCAAAAGTAACGTAACACATTACTTTCCATAAAAAAGTAACTAAGTAACATAATTAGTTACTTTTTTATGGAGTAACGCAATATTGTAATGCATTACTTTTAAAAGTAACTTTCCCCAACACCGACACTCACAATGTTTACCAGTGAGATCGACTGAAGGACCGTGTTCGCACAGACACATAGGGCAGATGCACAGCTCTGAAAGTCTCTGTATTAAGAGTTGTCATGCATTCTGGCTCTCAAACGCCCATCATGTTGTCATGCATGTTATTTACAGTTTCTGTCCACTGGCTTTCCTCAGTAGCTGCTCTCGTGACCCGTTAAAATATATAAATTGCTAGTGGCTGAAGGGTTTTCAGTTGGGGTGCTTTGCAAAACAATGTCTCTGTAAACCAAGATTGGGGAGAAAAGACATTAAGAAGAATGAAATGCAATTTTTATTCAAGTTAAAAGGAAAAACAATGAAAGGCAGAGGAAGAAAGTCAATACCTGTGCGTGCCTAAAACTTTGAACTCTCGGCTTTTGTCTGAGATTTCCTGTGTTATCTGCAAGGACACATGAGGATGAGTTTAGATCTTAATCCACAGTAAATTTATCAACTATTAATAAGGTGAGTGTCTCTGTCCAGCTGTGTCACTTGTACAGCTCTTATTGTCTCAAAGTCTAAGGAAAGACACAAAGATCACACATTCACACACTTCTCAGTGAATTAAACACAGTAGGCCCATACAAAATGTGCATGTTTTTCATATTTTCTTTACTGATTGTGAGGGGGAAAATCTGTTGAGTTCATAGGAATGGGTTTTAATATGATGTTTGCTGTGAAATTCTTCAGCCCTGAATTCATGCAAGACCAGCAGTCAGTCAGTCACTTACCTTGCTGAGGGTTTGGCGTGCCATTCAGATGGATGATGTCAAACTTTAGCTGTCGTTCGTTTTGCTGTTGGAGGCTTTCCTGGACACCCACACAGAGCTGAGGAAGCTCATCTGTCATTAACACCAGCAGCTCAAAGATGGGCAATGGGTCCGGCAGGGGCACGGCAATGTGCTTCAATGAGAAGACGATAAGAAAGGAGAAATATAATGAGAGAACGACTACCAGATGTTACACAGGCACTTGTTAGGGAAAGCATAATATTGTTTGTTTGGTAGAAATAAATGTATTTACTTGTAAATAAAATTGCCATACATTATAACTGTAAATTAAACATTAAAATAAAGTTAATGTTTCATTAGAAAAGTGAGTCTATTAACCTGTAAAGTTTTACATATGAAATAATAGTCAGAAATTTTATTGGAAATGGCACAGTTTGTTGAACTTTTAGATAAAATCTTAAAAAATTAAAATATGTTTTTTTTTTTTTGAGTATCATATTTGATACATTAGACTTTTATGGCTCATATAGTGTGATATAGGAGAATACGGTGCTCATACTAAAGGAGGAAAAAACACTCAAATAGAGCAAAAATATGCAATTTGGTGCAGCTGCTGATATTTTTATCGCCAGAAAGTAAGATGAAATTCTGATTTTAATCTGATTGCTTTTAATGAAGGGCAAAACATATAATGCAATACTATGATGATTGAAAGATGTACAAGTTCCTCAAAAGTCTGTCTTATCATATTTGATGTTCATATTTTTATATATTATTATTTTTACAAATGATGTATGGATAATAAAGTAAATCTAAGTTGCTTCAGTCCAGCAAGTGTTCCTCTTGAAATAGTACTAACAATATAAAATTGATTCTTGTTTACTTTATAAAAATCGTTATAGATTTCTTGCCAAAAAGATATGTGAACCACAACCCAAAGGTGGAAAGGGCCTTTTATTTGCTAAAAAATACAAATTATAAATCAGATGACAGGAGATATGCAAAAGAGTGTGTACAGGTTTCTCAGCAAAGTTTTAATTGTTGATAATTTAGAGGTCTTAGAAATGTATCAAATATGATATAGTAGGTTTTATAGGATTACTATTATTACCTTGAGGTGCATGAACTTCTGCAGCGGTTCATACCACAACAATAGCACAAGACCAGAGGGAACTGCAGCACACAAGAACGTGCTGTCTGTGTAAGGGTTACGAGCTGATGAAGAAAAATCAAGAAAACATGGCTTTCAGTATGTTTCCATCTTAACCAGAAGGTCAGCAAAGACATTCATCAGGATGAAATTAATAAACATTGATCTATTATGACGTAGCAAATGGTCCTCACCCACACTGCACTTTCGACTGCCCTTAGTGTCAGCAATCTTCACTGACACGGCAAACTTCCTGTGAAAAGGTTATTTTGAGTTCCAAATGAACAACATATAAGCTGAATTATTAAACTTTTATGTGTTTCTGTGACCTGTGGATGATCCGTTCCGTGAAGCAGTTGGTGCCGAGGGACATGTGACCCTGTTTCCTCTGTAAATGCCCTCGCTGTTCAAACAGAGCTGTCAGTCTATGAGAGTAGAGATGAGACGACTTACCTAAGAATAGAATAGAATAGAATAGAATAGAATAGAAGTTTACAGACCACTGAGGAGTACATTAGATGTACAGTTTTTCTCAGTTTCCTATAACTATACATTTATTTATACAAATCTCAAATAAACTTGTCTATTTAAAAAATAGAAAAATAAGAAAGATGTCTATTTAAAAATATTGTGTTTAATCTTTAATCTAATGGATGTTTGGATTTTGACAATATCCATAATACATAATGGATTTCTACTTGACCACGATGTACGTTTTGAGAATTTGGAATAAAACATTTAACAAATTTGCAACTTATGTGCATAATTTAGAGAAATTCGTATTTATTTTAGAGAATGGCATTATGGTTTAAGATATTGGCATTTTAGTGTCTTATCAACTTGAGGAAAAACTATAGTACTTTAATCTTTTTTTTTTTAGAAATTCAGTTCTAACACAGTTTGTAATTTCTGAGCATGTAATTTCTAAAACTGGTGGGCTGTTACTGGAATCACATCACAACATCTGTAAAAATGTTACATACCAGAGATGGACATTAAGACATTGTTCATGACGTAAAGCCAAGTACATCTCTGTGGAAGCAACTGCAATAGATATCAGGAGGTAAAAACATATTAATCATTAAAAATAAGATTTCATTCTTGTGTTGTATTTTATGACAGAAACAGTTATTGAGTCAAAATACTAAATCATAATGTTGTCATAGACACAGATGCAGTAGCCAGCAGTACCTTTTCTAAGGTGTCTTCATGCAGTTCATTTAAGTTAAGGATATAAACACCCTCCTCTGCACCCAGAATTAAATATTGATCTGTGAGGAACAGATTAAGAAATCAAACAGAATTCAGCAATACTCTGATTCTGTATTACTGATGCTGGAAAGTTTTTCAATCTATATTTAAATTAAATTTTCATTAAAATTCTGCATCAGTAGGATGGAAAAAAATCTGTACCTCTTGTTTTGGGCAAAACCCATGTCTCTGCACAATGAATTTTCAGTGGACATCCATTAAAGACTTTAGTAAAACAGGCCCCCATCTATGCAAAATGAATTATGCAATGTTTCATAAATACAGTACACCGGATGTAAATTTTAAGATGAATTCTTAAGTTCATACATAGATACTGGGCCTAAAATTACATTAATGACAAACTAGTCATTAATTATTATGCAAATTGTCACACTCTAATTTAGCAATAGCCAGGTTTAACACATTTAAAAGGTGCTATTAGGTGGTTAAACTTACATAGACTTGGGGAGTGGGAGGAAGTCCGTGAGAATCTGCTCTCTGTGAATTAATGGTTAAAAAATACAAGGAACAGTTTCTATATATTTTAGTCTGTCAGTAATACTTTTAGTGACTCAGAAAAACATACACAATGTGTATTAAATAACATAATATGTAGTGGGTTTTTGAGATCTGTCCATGGTACTGAAACATCTAGCACTACGCTAACCAAATAATGTGCTAGATATAATGAAATAACACCAAAATATTTGATCTAATAATGTTTCAACCAGTTAATTAAAAACTACTTAATAGTGGTAGACTAATGTAGGTTTTTCAATGACCAGTTTGATGTTGATATATTTAGACATCTAGCCATACTAAATTAGACAAAATCTGCACAAGGAATGCATGTGAATCAGTTCTTTATTTCTGACACTGTGTTTGATAAAAGGGCATTAATGTAGCTGAGATGTATTAAAGTGTGGGATACAAGCACACATAAGTGTAAGTCTGTTATTTGTAACTTCCAACATTGTGTAACTCACAGAGTCCTCTGTTTTCTTCCTCATGGTGCTCCACTCTGTAGAAAGAGCCGTGTCTCTGCTCAAAGTCCTTGTAAGAGTCCTCTGTTTGTCCTGTGTGTCATTACCATCAGGAACATAAGGGTCACTGCACCAGTGCCGCACATCCTGACTGCCTGAACACCTCAACAATGCTGACAAAACACAAAGAGAGAAATGTTTTACAAATTTGTATGGTGAATTTCCTATGTGTCCTGCATGTGCAGATAGTAATACCTGGACTTAATACAGTTTCAGGGCATAGAGTAGCACTGGGTCGAAGCGTAAGGTCCTTGTCCTCCAGATTAGAGTCTAAAGAACTCATGGGAGGAAGTGATGTTGTTGCAGAGACAGGTGGTGGACTGAACAGTCCACTTTTCCTCTTACTCCACTATGAAACATCAGAAAATGTTTACAGCCTTGCATCATTTTTTATACAGTCATAAATTAATCATTAGGACAGGTTATGAAATACCTCAAAATATGAGCGTCTTTTCACTGTCAAGCACCTGAAAGAGAAAGGCAGTTCAAAGTGAATGACAAAATATTAGTATACACATGGTGCAAAGTATATTTCTGAAGGTGAACATAATAGATAACCAAAGAGAACATCATTAAAAGATACAAAAAATAATAATTTAAATTGTAATTGTAATTCGACGTGTTTCAGAAAGGTGGGGCATAGAGGAAAAACAATAATGTACAGTATGTGGAAAATAATGTGTTTTTTGAACCTTAAACCGCATAAACACATTTCATTACACCAAATACACAAAATAATGTTCTTTTTAGCAACATCATATGACCCCTTTAAAAGAAGAAGAAGAAGAAGAAGAAGGAAAGTAGAATAACTATTTAACACTATGCTTATTTACACATACATACATATAACAAAAAATATAATAATCAATGCATAATTTCACTTTTAGCAGATAGATGCCACTCCACAAGGTGGCGCCAGAATATAAGCATGTCCCACCTATGCTGTAACTCCTCCTCCACTCTTTCCAAAAGACCCCTGCAGCAATGAATATAGTTCAAATGAAAGGTTATAATAACTGTTTAAATCTGTAGTGCAATTATAAGTCCACATCAATCAACACTCACGGTGACTCTGGTTCATCTCCAGATATGCTCCAATCATCACACGATCCCTGAGAACATAAACATACTTAATTCTTTTTTTTCTGAGTGATAACCATGAATTATGACACAGAGTACTTTATGAAGTGTGGTAGGATGTGGTTTGTGTTTTCTTTGCCTCATTGGCTTAAAGAGAACATCACTAAGAGAGTCCAATAAAACTGACCAGGTCAGGATATGGTTCAGTCTCTTTTCTCCTGGGAGCGGTAAACTTAACCTGGTCAACTGAAACAAACAACAAATCCATATTACACATTTGTATTCTTTTATTTACATATTTGTACCATTCAAAAGTTTGGGGTCAGTAAGATTTTTAATGTTTTTGGAAAAAAGTCTCTTATGCTGACATTGCCTGCATTTATTTGATGAAAAATACAGTAAAACAGCAATATTGTGAAATATTATTACAATTTAAAATAATTGTTTTCTGTTTTAATATATATAAAAATTTAATTTATTCCTGCAATGGCAAAGCTGAATTTTCAGCATCATTACTCCAGTCTTCAGTGTCACATGATCCTTCAGAAATCATTCTAATATGCTGATTTGGTGCTCAAGAAACATTTCTTATTATAAATGTTGAAAACAGTTCTGCTGCTTAATATATTTGTGGAAACTGTGATACATTTTCTTCCACAATTCTTTGATGAATAGAAAGTTCAAAAGAACAGCATTTATTTGAAATAAATTTTTTTCATAACATTACAATTGTCTTTATTGTCACTTTTGATCAATTGCTGATTTTTTTCTTAATTTCTTAAAAAAACCTTACTGACCCCAAACTTTTAAATGGTAGTTTATATAAAATAATGTAGAATATGATATGTTAGGAGGGATTGTTTACTGATGTGCATAAATCACATCAAATTTTTATCACATAGCTTTAAAACCTTTCACAAGAACTTTTTCAATCAATCCCAGCATCAAAAACCTATACATAAAGGTCCTTTAGGTGTTTTTTCCCTAAGACAATTTAATGAGATCACTTCCTGATATGATTCAATTTGGTTACACGGCAGTGTGTTACTAGGATGACAAGTATGCTATTTTCTTCCTTCTATTGAATAGAAAGTTACACAGCTTGACCAGACTTAATATAATCTCAGGGCAATGATGTCATCCAGACATTACTATCACACTGCGGATGGGGGCTGTTTGTAGAGCCAGAGTATGTGTGTCTGTCTGTATGTGTGTGTTAAAACTGGAATTCACTTTTATAACTCACGCAGTATTACCACTGGAGTCTGTGATCCAACCGGAGTGTGTTTGTGTGTATGTGTCTGCTTACACACTGATTTGATAGGCTATACACTTAATATTTGTGTTAAACCATGGATACAGAAACTGCTGTTTGCTTAAGAGTTGTATGTTCGTTTTTATGATATCGTTGACTGATGCTTTTATAAATTGCTCTGGTATTAATGGTGTGACCACATCGCATGCAAACGAATACATAAACACTTACACAGACATAGACACAAACCGCCTGAAACATCTTGTGTTTTCAGTTCGTGTGTATAGGGTCGGTTAACCCATTATTTACATCCACTCAATCTAAATAGGAAACAGACTGCATTATTATTCCCGTAGGATTGTGAAATATTATTACAATTTAAAATAATTGTTTTCTGTTTTAATATATATAAAAATTTAATTTATTCCTGCAATGGCAAAGCTGAATTTTCAGCATCATTACTCCAGTCTTCAGTGTCACATGATCCTTCAGAAATCATTCTAATATGCTGATTTGGTGCTCAAGAAACATTTCTTATTATAAATGTTGAAAACAGTTCTGCTGCTTAATATATTTGTGGAAACTGTGATACATTTTCTTCCACAATTCTTTGATGAATAGAAAGTTCAAAAGAACAGCATTTATTTGAAATACTAATTAATGCATTTTTTGCAGAATTAAAGTATTATTTTCTTAATGAAATAAAATGAAGAAAAAATTACTGACCCCTTTTGAATAGCAGTGTAAACATTCATAAATCTGGACAATATTAATCGATATTCAGTGATCATAAGTTTTTTAACATGTTAGAATGTGATTTCTACGGTGTTCTTGTTAGTTGCATATATGTGAGACCTCCAACAACTTCATACAGTAGTTTGAACATCACTTCCTCATCTGCCCTAAAGAAGCTTCATTGTCTGTCTGCCTGATTCGTCTGCTTGTGAATGCTGTAATCTTACAGTCAAGATGCCTGACAATGGATTCTCAGTAAAAGTGGCATCGACTTGCCACACAATAACACACACACACACACACGCATCACACTCTCCGCTTGGCCTCGAATGTGACCACTGGATCCAGTTCACGCGAGTGAGTGTGTGAGGGGGATGAGAAGGACATGCCATAGACGTGTGCTAAACAGTACCAGCTCTATGAGTTGTGTGCCTATTGACATCACTGAAGCTATGCTCAGTAGCAGCCTTGTTAAAGCAGCACATCCTCTGCTACACATCCATATGTTAAACTTTCTAATCATGCACACGCTGCAATGAAAATAGACATGGCTCTGACATTGGAGTGACAGTGAACTTCAGAAAACGGAAAGATGAATACATATAATGAAGAAACATTATAAGTCAAAAATGTGTTCACTACTCATTTCTACAGATAATAAATGATTGCGTATCATACATTTTTTATGACTGATTCTGGTATAATGTAAAGTATAACAAAGTTTATACCATGGTCTGTCTGAATACTTGATTCTGATTGGCTAGCAGGTGTACATTAAAACCGTTTAATACACAGGTACTGTAGTTCCAAGTCAGTTTAATCAATTTCATTGATGCACACGCACACATCACTTGCACACAGAGATCAGAGATCGTGCTGCGCACACACAGAAACATTCATGAGCACAGAAACTTGTTGTCTACGCTGCCCCGCGCTTCGTGTCGGGTGGTTCTTTGCCTCCACGTCATGCAATAAAATTGTTTAATGCACAGCTAACCGTGAATTATTCCTTACATAAAATACAATTTAATGAAAGCAAATAAGATGCATATAATATTTAAATAATAAATATTTTACCAAATGTTGTCCAAATTGACCAAATAAAATGTCCTTCAAACAAAATACAATTTTAAAAAAAGAAAGAAAAAAAGGAAAAAGAAAAATAGAATAGAATATAGGATGGATATTTTATATAGGATATAAAAAAAATATTGGCTGATACAGATGATATTAAAAAAAAATAATATAAAAAATTAAGACTGAATAGTGTGTATTGTAATATGCTAATAGTATGTTAAGTGTAAATGTTTATGTTCAGTTTCTGCTGCAAATAAGGACAGTGTTAACCAGAACTTACATTGTTCTTCTGATAAACTTCTCTCCACTGGCATATGTTTCCCTTTAGACTGGATCGTATCTGGGGCTGTATCACTTGCCTTTAACACAGACACAAATATTGCCACTAAAAAAAACTGTACACTTTGACAAACTGAACTCTGACATGCATATTTGGAAAAATAATTAAATGACCTCATAAATTAGGGAAAGGTTTCCCAATAATCCTGAATCATGTGCTTCTCTTTATTTAACCTTATTTGAACAAATACTTTTTGATGACATATATTTGAAAGTAAATTTCAATAATTTAAGTCATTTGAAAGCTCAAGAATGCTTTAAATATATATATATATTTTTTTTTTTTTTTTTTTTTTTTGCTTAATGATTTATGATGAAATTAAATTACCTGCCTTAAAAAAAACTTTCAGAAGACCTTTGGTCAGCTCAGGTTAGACGCCATATTGAATTTAACACAGATGAAAATGAGGCTGTGAGGGACAGACTTACAGTATTCACAATGGCACGCACTGTATAAAGGTCCTAAATTATGTCATTTTTACAACTCAACTTTCAAAACTGGTTTATGGAGTTTTTGTCTACTAAAAGTTTCTTCAGGAAAGATGCTTTGTCAGCTGAACAATCGGTATGTTGTTAAACCACAGTACTGTACAGTGAAAGTACTGTACTTCTGTCCATCACAGCCTCATTGTCATTCCTGTCAGAAATTAAATATGCCTTACCCTGTATTCCTGTGTTCAAGTCATGTAAAAATGACCATAATTATGCATACGACGCATAAGAAGTTTTGCATAAAAAAAACAAAACATTTCTGAGCCAGAGGACATGAATAGCTCAAAGTAGAGTTGCCATCTCATAATTACAGTAATTCCAACATAATGCAAGCGTGTCTTCTTCTCACCTCTTCATTCTCTTCAGGACTGGGTGGATGATGGAGGTCCGGGTTACTTGCTATGTCCAGCAGCTCAATCATCAATTTTCTGGTGAGTAACTGTGTTACAAAGGGGTGCTTGGGAGAGAGACAGTGGCAAAAATTATCAACTTTTCTAGAAATACAAACTTTGTACATTTAATGTTTCCTTGTAGGGATGCTCCATTCAGGATTTTTTTTTCAGCAAAAAAACAATCACAGATTTTTCTTGATCAGTCAATACTAATCCAGATTTTATCATAGCTTTTACTTAGATCTGTTATATACATGACATGCATCCTTTCTAATTATTTTTAAAAAATGAATAAATACATTAAAACACATGTTCCCTTGTTGTGATCACATGAGAAAAGTTATTATAGGTATGTGATATTCAGCAGCAATGCTAATATTAACTTTGATTTTTGAGTTTGATTCATCTATCACCTGGAGAAGAGTTTCTGCTGTCGGCCTCTTGCGAGGACTTTTGATTAAACACATCTTCACAAAGCTATGAAACCCTGCAGGCCTGCAAAGACAAGGACACAAACCTCTCACCAATCATGTCAGGTACTCACAGGAAAACTTGCGCTTTTCTTTACTTTTTCCGTTTCTAAGAGAAATGTCATTTCTTTCTATGAGGTTTTGAGTCTCACCATTTGCTCTTGTCTTTTAGTTTGGGAGGCTGGAAGCTGCTCTTAGACATCAGCATCAGAGCACTACAACAGAAAAAGAAACTCAGTTCAAAAATGCTTTGTTACCAGGGTATTTTCTGTTCTCGTAAATTAATTAAACGAGTCATTCTGACCGCATGGGATGAAGGTCAAACATAGGTGGCTGTAGCTCTGCCAGCTCAATGGCGGTGATGCCCACTGCCCAGATATCACACAGATGGTTGTATCCACCCTTCTTTTCCACTGCTGCCACCTCAGGGGCCATCCTAACAAAACAAAGACAAATTTCCATTAGATACTTCACAGCCTGCTGTCAGTCCGATTGTCTTTCAGGAAAATGTAAAGGGTAAAGGGGTGAATTTATTCAGTCAGCATATGGAAATGTTTTTTTGATCAAGCATTCTTTCTGTATTGTTATAAAACCTGTAAATGTAATATAAAAATCACAGACACACACACACACTACCATTCAAATGTTTGAGGTTTTATTCATGTTTTGAAAGACTGTCTTATGCTCAGTAAGGCTGTATTTATTTGATCAAAAATACAGTAAAAACTGTCATATTGTGAAATATTATTACACTCCAGTCTTCAGTGTCACATGATCCTTCAGAAATCATTATGCTGATTTTCTGCTGGCAAAAATTATCAACTTTTCTAGAAATACAAACTTTGTACATTTAATGTTTCCTTGTAGGGATGCTCCATTCAGGATTTTTTTTTCAGCAAAAAAACAATCACAGATTTTTCTTGATCAGTCAATACTAATCCAGATTTTATCATAGCTTTTACTTAGATCTGTTATATACATGACATGCATCCTTTCTAATTATTTTTAAAAAATGAATAAATACATTAAAACACATGTTCCCTTGTTGTGATCACATGAGAAAAGTTATTATAGGTATGTGATATTCAGCAGCAATGCTAATATTAACTTTGATTTTTGAGTTTGATTCATCTATCACCTGGAGAAGAGTTTCTGCTGTCGGCCTCTTGCGAGGACTTTTGATTAAACACATCTTCACAAAGCTATGAAACCCTGCAGGCCTGCAAAGACAAGGACACAAACCTCTCACCAATCATGTCAGGTACTCACAGGAAAACTTGCGCTTTTCTTTACTTTTTCCGTTTCTAAGAGAAATGTCATTTCTTTCTATGAGGTTTTGAGTCTCACCATTTGCTCTTGTCTTTTAGTTTGGGAGGCTGGAAGCTGCTCTTAGACATCAGCATCAGAGCACTACAACAGAAAAAGAAACTCAGTTCAAAAATGCTTTGTTACCAGGGTATTTTCTGTTCTCGTAAATTAATTAAACGAGTCATTCTGACCGCATGGGATGAAGGTCAAACATAGGTGGCTGTAGCTCTGCCAGCTCAATGGCGGTGATGCCCACTGCCCAGATATCACACAGATGGTTGTATCCACCCTTCTTTTCCACTGCTGCCACCTCAGGGGCCATCCTAACAAAACAAAGACAAATTTCCATTAGATACTTCACAGCCTGCTGTCAGTCCGATTGTCTTTCAGGAAAATGTAAAGGGTAAAGGGGTGAATTTATTCAGTCAGCATATGGAAATGTTTTTTTGATCAAGCATTCTTTCTGTATTGTTATAAAACCTGTAAATGTAATATAAAAATCACAGACACACACACACACTACCATTCAAATGTTTGAGGTTTTATTCATGTTTTGAAAGACTGTCTTATGCTCAGTAAGGCTGTATTTATTTGATCAAAAATACAGTAAAAACTGTCATATTGTGAAATATTATTACACTCCAGTCTTCAGTGTCACATGATCCTTCAGAAATCATTATGCTGATTTTCTGCTCAAGAAACATTTCTTATTATTATCAATGTTGAAAAGAGTTATGCATCTTAATATTTTTTATGAAACTTTAGTATGTTTTATTCAGTGCTCTTTGACGAATCAAATGTACAAATAAAAGTACAAATTTCTTTCCAAAACAAACAAACAAAAATCTTACTGACCCCAAACTTTTGAACAGTAGAGTAGATATTCTATAGCTACAGTTTTGTAAGCAGAGTTTTTGGCGTAAAGAGATAGATTTAAAGGTACAGTTCACCCAAGAAAAAAAAATCTGTCATCATTTACACATGCTGGGTTGTGTTTCCCAAAAGCTTTTGGGAAATGCAGCCCAGTCATTTCTCCTTTGGTGTTTCATGAAAGCAAGGAAGTCATACGGGTTTGGAATGACATGAGGGTGAGTAAATGATACATTTTTGGGAACTATTCCTTTGTACTAATCATAAGAGACAGCGTGCTAACTGTTTTAAAACAAGACAATCCAGACAGTGTGATTCTGCAGGACTCAAGGGCAAAAATCTGTGCAGACAGCTCACCAGTAGGGAGTTCCTATGAAGGACTTCCTCTTGGCAACAGAGGCACTTATCTCAGCCGCAACCCCAAAATCAGCTAAAATCTTACTGACCTCAAACTTTTGAATGGCAGTGTATCCAAGTTTGAGGTCAGTAGGATTTTATGGGGAAGAAATTAGTACTTTTATTCAGCAAGAATGCATTAAATTCATCAAAAGTGACAGTAAAGACAAACAAATTCTATTTCAAACAAATCCTGAATAAAATCCTTCACAATTTCCATTAAAAATATTATGATATCTGAAGGATCATGTGACACTGACGATTGGAGTAATGGCTGCTGAAAACTACATTTTAGAATATATTAAAATAGAAAACAGTTATTTTCAATTGTAATAATATTTCACAATATTACTTTTTACTGTATTTTTAATCAAATAAATTACTATTGGTGAGCATTAGAGACGTCTTAAAAACATTTTAAAAATCTTAAAGACCCCAAATATTTAAACAGTAGAGTACAATATAGAAAAGCCTCGTTCACCTTAATGTCTCTGTGTATTTTGCCTGTCTCATGGAGATGATTCAAACCCTGGGTAAGACAAGAACAGAAGTCTTCTCAAAATGAAGGGATGTGTCATTGAGAAAGATGTGTGCCTCTAAAGAGCTTTTTAAATAATGAATTAGCCTCACCTGGAGAGTTTCCCTGCAGATGTAAGCAATCTGTTTTTCCTTTAAAGGTCCAGTTACTGTGAAGGGCATATTATATTAACTCTCACTTAACTGGGGCAGTGGTTAAATGCAGCCATTAAACTCTCAAAAGAATAGTTCACCACAAAAATGTGAGATGGAATTGTTGTAAGGAACAGACTGAAATTTATAGTGTTTTTTGGAAGATATTCCTCTCCTTTTATGTAGTTTTTTCATCCCAAATTAAAAAAAAAAAAGTAAGAAAGTCGTTTGGGTTTGGACCAATGTAAGAGTAATGAATTTTCTTTTTTGAGTGATCTGTTACTTTAAGAAGCTTAAAGAAATAGTTCACCCATAAATGAAAATTTGCTGAAAATGTATTCACCCTCAGTCCATCCAAGATGCAGATGAGTTTGTTTCTTTATTAAAAGAAATTTAGAATTACATCTCACTGATGGATCCTCTACAGTGAATGGGTGCCGTCAGAATGAGAGTCCAAACAGCTGATATAAACGTCACAATAATCCACAAGTAATGTAAGTAATCCACAAGCTGCATGTTTGTAATTAACAGAGCCATCATTAGGATGTTTTTAACATTAAACCATTGCTTCTGACTAAAATACAAGTCCTCCATCCGTAATTCTGCTTTCTCCAGTAAACAATTGTCTTGTCTGAATCAGGAGAGAAATATGCACAAATCAAGCACGGAGCAAGCACAAGCAAAAACAGCTTAAAACAGTTCTAAACAAATATGTCTGTGGATTTTGATGTGAGAGGACAACAGGGGATGGACTTTTTCACTGGATGAAGCGTTATTATGGATTACTGGATTTATTATGAACTCATATTTTGGCCAGAAGCAACAGTTAAAAGATAAAACACATTAATAGTGAACTTGTTTCTTACAAACATGCACCTTTTCCTTTACAAGACGTTAACTGATGGACTGGAATCATGTGGATTACATGTCGATTATTGTGATGTCTTTATCAGCTGTTTGGACTCTCATTCTGACGGCACCCATTCACTGCAGGGGATTCATTTGTGAACAAGTGATGTAATGATAAATGTCTCTAAATCTGTTTTGAAGAAAATTTATCTACATCTTGGATGGCCTGAGGATAGGTACATTTTCAGCAAATTCCTTTAAGATGCTTAATACCGGTAATAGCTCTTTCCTATGATTTTCAAAAGTCTCAATGCTTACACAGAATACTGTGTGTTATTCACTGTATACCTTGGTAGATATCCTGCAATGATCCTCCCCCACAGTATTCCATGCAGATCCACAATTTATTATTCCTAAAAAAGTTCAACAGTTCAGAGCATGTTTTTTTTTTGAGTCAATGCACACAAAACATTTTCAATAGATACATACGCGCACACGCATAGCTTACAAACATGACAAGAATCTCATAAACATTTTGAAAGCTTGTAAGTAGGAATGCATGCCTTTGAAATAATATTCGGGAATGCACAAGTCATCTAGAGCATGTGCTGACACACCTCGGCAGCTATTTATAAATTCTATTAAACATGTCTGGGTGATTCGTGCTTCATATCTGATTGTGTAACTCTGCCTGTAGGGGTATAAAACATGTTGTGGAATGCACCTTTCTATGCCCTGACAACTACTGGAGAAATACCAGGCAAGGCACAAACAATACCGTACCTGTGGTAAGTGCCATAATAGGCCACAATGTTCTTATGCTTACACTCCTTCATCATTGTTATCTCCTGCTGGATGGAGGTGATGTCATCACCTGAAAAAGCATTGAGAGAATGAGAAAAAGAGTGTATACTGAACAAACAAATTGTCCATAATCACAAAATATTAAAGGTATTTTACTTCAGAATGCAGTGATTGACAAATCTGAAACAACTATTCCAGAGAGCCGTGTAAAAATAACTTTTCATGTGACACAATGCAGTCCAATCATTTTTAAAGTAGTAGTAGTGCATGACAGGGAGGCTTTTGAGAACTATAATTATGTGTAACTGTAGAGCTCATTATAATATAAATCCTTCATACAAGGAATCGATCCAATAAAACCCCTATAATTTTGAGAGATTAGTTAGAAACAGCATATGCCTCTAAATGTTTACTGTATGTTCTCTACAGCACTGATGCATGAAAATCTCCCAATATGTAAATGTGCTCTGGTCAAAAACGTATCACATTAAAACTACTCACACACCTGGATCCAGTTTAACAATTTTGATAGCAGCCATTTCTGAGCTCCTAATGTTTCTAGCCTGAAAGAAAGTACATTATATTGCATGATGAACTGAAAAATCAGATTGCACTTTGTCTTTTACAACAATATTAACTAAAAAATGGATACTTATAACTCTTGATATACATTACATGCATCTGTGACTGTGCACAAATTTTATATTAATATGTCTATACCATTCAAATGTTTGGGGTTGTTAAGATTTTTTTTTGAGAGAAGTCTCTTGTGCTCACCAAGGCTGCATTTATTTGATCAAAAATATAGTAAAAACTGTAATAATATGAATTATTATTACAATATAAAATAACTGTTTCCTATTATAATATATTTTAAAATTTATTAAATGATTAAATGCAACATAGAGGTGAGTAAATGCGACTTTAAGGCCTTGCACTTTGTCTTTTACAACAATATTAACTAAAAAATGGATACTTATAACTCTTGATATACATTACATGCATCTGTGACTGTGCACAAATTTTATATTAATATGTCTATACCATTCAAATGTTTGGGGTTGTTAAGATTTTTTTTTGAGAGAAGTCTCTTGTGCTCACCAAGGCTGCATTTATTTGATCAAAAATATAGTAAAAACTGTAATAATATGAATTATTATTACAATATAAAATAACTGTTTCCTATTATATTTTAAAATTTAAATGTAACATAGAGGTGAGTAAATGCGACTTTAAGGCCATGTTTACTTTGGTGAAATGCTCGGGATGCTGTAGAAAAGCCAGGAACAGATCCAGCTCTCCTGGCAGGCATCTTAATGACAAATATCCTAGTGTCAGTGGCAGCCTGCTGCGTCCTTGACTGTAACCTTGTCCTGTAGCTACTGCCGGGAGCTGACGTTCTTCATCTTTCTAGACCGTATGATGCTGCACCATTAGTTAATCACTCATTCCATCTAAGAAGGATTCTATCAATTTACTATAACTACTACCACTAATACCACTTGCCAAGGATTCATCAAATTCATAAAGCTGGTGAATTAAAGGAATAGTTCACCCAAAAAAAGGAAAATTTGCTGAGAATGTACGCAGTGTACATCCAATATTTGGAAGAGTCTGTTTCTAATGGGAACATATTTGGAGAAATTTAGCATTACATCACTTGCTCACCAATAGATCGTCTGCAGTGAATGGGTGCCGTCAGAATGAGAGTCCAAACAGCTGATAAAAACATCACATTAATACACAAGTAATCCACATGACTCCAGTCTATCAATTAACCTCTTGTGAAGCGAAAAGCTGCGTGCATGTTTGTAATGAACAAATCCACACTTTTGACTTCAAACTGCATAATATTGCTTTCTCCAATGAAAAAGTTATTGTCTGAATCAAGAAAGAAATATGCACAGATCAAGCACCGTTTACAAGTGAAAACAGCTTAAACAGTTCTAAACAAATATGATGGTGGATTTGATGTGAGAGTAGGGGATAGACTTTTTCACTTGTATTTTACGTTATTATGGATTATGGACTGGTATTTTGGACAGAAGTGACAGAGTAAAGTTAAAATGCTTTATTGATGGATTTTGTTTCTTACAAGCATGCAGTTTTTCACTTCACAAGATGTTAACTGATGAACTGGACTAGTGTGGATTGCTTGTGGAGTATGGTGAGGTTTTTTATTAGCTGTCTGGACTCTCATTCTGACGGCACCCATTCACTGCAGAGAATCCATTGGTAAGCAAGTGATGTAATGCTGAATTTTTCCAAATTTGTTCCATTGAAGAAACAAACTCGTGTACATATTGGATGGCCTGAGGGCAAGTCAATTTTAAGCCAAATTCCATGTTGGTGTACACTGCTGCGGTAAATAGGCAACTCATGCACATTAAATATGTGCTATAAATACAGAGCAGATTATTTAATACTTATGATCGGGCCTATTCTTAATATAAACCATCAGACAAAAAAAGTTAGTCAGGAAGGTGGACCTCCATTTTTGCTTTCGGCTACTCATAAACATAACAAATCGAGCATTTCTGGACAAAACCTGGAACTTCACTGAGCTGCCTTCCTGTTGTTTTTTCCTGGCATGCCAGAGAGCTTCCTGTGATGACTGAAGCGACAGTGCAACGTTCTCTTAATGGTTTAACATTGCAACCTGAAATAACGCAGCCACAACCCAAGAAAAATGGCTCGGGTTGGATATCTGTCCACACTTTGACCAGAAATCTCCAAAGCTTGTTATTCTTTATGTTGGCATAGTCAGACCTGACAAGTCCATCAAATGCAAAACAGACTGTTTCGTTCAAATGCAGCTGGGAATCCTCAGTATGAAATATTTTTAGATCTCGAGATCTTTCTGAGTCCAAGTTGAGAGAGCTAGAGGACACTAGAAAGGATTCTTTGTGCATTGTAAGGGTTGTTGGCTCACCCACTGAATTATGATCAAGTGGACTGTGTTAGGGATTGCTACACAAGAGTGACACATCCTCCATATTAAACATATATAAAAGAGACAGCCAACAACATATTTACACCTTACAAACTTCTTGAAGAAGAACACTACCACACCTGAGGGAGGCCTACATGGTTTTAAAGTCCAGATTTGTAACATTCCACAAATGTTGTGGTTGTGCCAGTAAGATTGCTCTTCAATCAAGTCAAATTTCTGAGCCAACCATATGATATTCTACTTTAAAATAGCAAACTACTTTATATCTGATATATTTTTAAACTATGCTTTTCTGTTTATACAGGGCTGTTTTGTATGTAAACATTGAAAACTTGAAGTAACATATTTTGTGGAGGAAATACCTAGATGGCCTAACAAATTGACATTTAGATAAAATAAAAATGAATAGTACGTGGATGTCAGTCTGTGTGCATCAGTTTGAGTTCATTGTGTTGGATGGAGAGTGTGTCTCTCCGCACACATGCTGTGAATTCTAGTAAACTAAACAATCCAGTCTGTCAACTAACATCATGGGTCTGGTTTCTTGAAATATTCAGCCTAAACAAGGAAATTATTAACAACAACAACAACTGAGTAAAGAAAAATCATGTCAACATCAGCAAGGATACCCTTACATGGTATCAGATGGTACTTTGACATTTAGCATGGTGCTGAATGATAATCATATCATGGTTCTCATAGATATTCATCATGGTACTAGTACTTCAGATAATAATGGCACTATGATGTCTAAAAACATGGCATGGATATCATGTCCAAAGTAATACACTCCTTGTACAGTAATACAATACAGACAAGTCATTCAATCCTTTTTGGTAGATTTTTGTTAGTCTCCCAGAACGAAGGGTTTTTTTCCCCGAAAACTTGACAGCGCAAGACGCATTAAATCATAGACATTACATACATGCGTAAACACTTCGTGCAATTCCCAAATAATAACCGTTGCATAAAAAACACTGAATTTCTTTCTCACCTTAAAGACTTCTCCATAAGTGCCGCTCCCGATCAGATGAATAATCTCATAATCATCCAAGGGATCTAAAAATGAAACTCCTATAGTATTCATGCCCGCAGCTCTTTGTATGTTTCACTTATTCATGACAGCTGTCACACAGTTTGATGTGCAGTAAACTCGTCTCATGCTGCTGCGCTGTCATCAAAAGATGTAATAATAAAACGTATTTAATTTAATTTAATTATAACGCAATGCAAAAAAAATAAAAATAAATAAATCTTCATGTACACATCAAGTTAATCAGGGCAATCACGGTCTTCGCCTTGTAATCTTTCAGCCTGTCCTTCTCACACTAGCGCACCCGCAGACTCGCATCAGCAATGTCCGACTCGTGAACGAATTGTTCTTTGGAGTCGTATCTTTTCAATGAACGTATCTTTTTCAAAACTGGTTCGAACGATTCATTAACGAATAGGACTGAACAGGTCCGAGCGGTTCTCGAGTCAGCAATTCGCTGACTGGTTGAAAACGAGAATTGTCTCTTTCGAACACGTCCTATTCACAACATACGATTTGGTTATAACAAATAGAATTGTATTTAAACGTACAAAAAAAACATGTTTAGTAAAAATAATACCTTTAGTAGTTTTTAATGAAAATGGAAAATGTTCTAAGGTTCGACCTTCATTTTTAATGTGAAGCTGGGCACGTGGAATTGCAATAAACACCATTTAACAAAACGAAATAAAAACGAAGCGCAAAAATAAACCGCAATACATGCCTGCATAGGGTGGCTTCATTGGAAAGTTTAGAGCACGGCGGAATGTCAGCGACCTCAGTGACGTAAAAGAATCGCCTTTAAAAAATGCTTTTCGAACAGGCTTTGAAATGAACTATTCTAAAGAACCGATTCGCAGACACGAGCGATCTTCACCCATCACCTGCGCATTGCATCAATGGGTGACCACATTGTAGCCGTTTACATACAATAATCCTTCACAACATGGGTGACAGTAAAAAAAGGGCAGTAAAACACTTACTTATTCAGTTCAAGTTGTTTATTTAGAGGAAAACACTTTCACATCAAGAAAATAATTTTTTAACTGAAGCACAGCATTTTTCAAAAGGATACTTACTGACACTATAACCTTGAGACCACATATGAAACCCAGCAGTTATGTGGACAATAACAAAACAAGTGCAAGACCTACATATATATAGGTTGAAAATAGCATTTTATTTTCAACACATTAGACTTGTGAAGCAAATACATGTTCATTGTATTGCAGACAAAATATTAGCTGAAAAAAAAAAACAGCATCTTTTCTAAAATCCTGATAAAACAAAAGATAATCACTTTGGCTTGTTGTAATTTGGGTTCTATCTAATAGAACTTATTGTAATAATACAAAATTAAGGCAAATCAATAAAATTACTTTATGCTATAAAATAATAAAGCAAATTTGCTGGTGTAAGAAAGTTTTCTTCAACTTGAAATGGGATATATTTAAATTCAACATTAGCTTATCAAAACATTTGATAACACTCAATTTGCAGGTAAAACGAATGAACTTCACTCCAGGTGAAAATATAAAAGTTTGGGGAAAATTTTTTTTTATAAATGGGTCATTTTAAAGAGTTTTGCGAGGGCGTTTCATGAAGGACAAGGTGTAATCTCCAGAAGGTGTGGGTTTCTGTCTCTTCATCTGCACTTGGGACTGGGCCGTGAGCTGCAGTTTAATGGCACTAGAGTTGATCTTGGCCGCAGAGAGCAGACCCTTCATACCCTTCATCTTCTCACTGTGGAAAACCACCACCGGCCCTCCCTGCACTATGGGTGGCTGGGTAGGAGAAGGTGTGGGACTTGGGGATGAGGGCTCATTTTTTCCATCAGACTCTTTACCTCGAGTTCCAGCAGAGGAACGTCTGCGTCCTCCTTCTCCGCCCACCTTTTTGGGCACTGGATTTTGAGCAGGCAATGCTGCACTTGGAGATGATGGTCCTGCTTGTTCATCTAACTTGGATTCTCGCCTCGGGACCCGTCTACGCCCCTCACGCAGGTCTTCACTGGATTGGTCATCGTCATCCACTGGTTCTGCATCTTTGGTGATGATTGACACTTTTTGCCTGATCTGAGAAAGAACGAAAATATAGAGTGTGGTTAATAAATGCCCTTTTAATGAAACCTGAAATAGAGAAAATCGAGGGATTTTACCTGCGCATCAAAGCGACTAAGGGACTGAACCAGGTAGGTGGCCCAGCCTACATGAAGCACTGGCGTGGGACTTCCTTCTTCCCATTTACAAATACCATCATAGAACCGAAGTAAGTGAGCAAAGCATTCTGGGTCCTGAAGGGCAGACAAAGCAGCTACCTGTCTTGGCTGGTCCTTTGAGGTAAAAGCATGAATAGAGGACAAAAGAAAGAATTGTTTACAACTTTGTTCTAAATAATATTTATTTTTTTATGCAAAACTAAACAAGACCTCCTTTTCCGTTTCATCAGCCCCTTCGCCACCACTTTCAGCACCAGCTGCTGTCTCTTTAAGAAGGGTGGGAACGACATCATTAGCGATGTCAAAAAACTCCTTATAGATCTCCTCATCCTCTCTGCAGTAGTTGTAACTATAGACCAAGAAAAAACAAGTAATGGAATTAAATATTACATTTTGTTCTTGACTTGACTGAAGCAATATTAAATTCCATTAAAAAAATCATTTATATATATATCTATATAGATAGATAGATAGATAGATAGATAGACTTCATCAATGATTACATTGTTTATAATGCAGCAAGTCTGTCATAGTTCAAAGCAGCACAAACAAAATGAAAACACATCAGAAGGACAGAGGGTAGGAGCTAATGTTGTCATGAAGGAAGAGGAAACAGGAAGAGCAGGAAAAGGAAGTGGATGGGAGTGAGCAGTAGTTCTAGGCATGCTTTGTGCAGACATCCTTCAGGACATTACAATAAAGTATTTTTAGTACTCTGTCCACTGCACTGTGTTTAGAGGGAGGAAAGTACACATTGTCTCTCTTGACAGGGACCAATGCCAAGGGTAAGACAGGGAACGAGCTTTCTAAAGACAAACAGCATGAGGCAAAACAGACAATGCTGGCAAACGCCACATTTTCCATTCAGTATGGACATTCAAGAGGCTTGAGAATTTTATCGTATTGCCATCTAATCATGAATGTGCAGCAGTAATAGACACATTCTATGTTTAGAGATTGATTAGCCTTTTTAAATAAATCTTTCTCTTTACTTAGATTTAAGAAGTTTTAAGCAGACTAATTTGGCAATAAAATTTATGCAACAGTAATAAATAAGCACTGCCCCCTGCTGTTGAAGTAAAATTAAATTTGAGAATATATTTAGTTGTGTCTGATTATTACTTCATCAGACACAACTAAAAATTCAATATCATTTAAAGGGGGCATATGATGCTGCTAAAAAGAACATTATTTTGTGTATTTGGTGTAATGAAATGCGTTTATGCGGTTTAAGGTTAAAAAAACACATTATTTTCCTGTACATTACATTATTGTTTCTCCTCTATGCCCCGCCTTTCTGAAACGCGTCGATTTTTACAAAGCTCATC